TCGTCGTTCGTACCTACCTACCTACCTACTACCGTACACGTACGTACGTTACGTTACGTACTACTAACTTACTTACTTACTTACTTACTACTCTCGTCGTCTCTCTCTCTCTCTCTCTCTCTCTCTCTCTCTCTCTCTCTCTCTCTCTGTGGCGCGTGCTCGCTCAAAATCTAAATTCACTCAAAGCACTGGAGCATGGTCACAGATATGGCTAAGGGAGAAGTGTTGGAGCATTGGGAGGATCTCAGCTGGATGCAAAATTGCAAGCCTCTTGGCTGCAAATGATGTGATTTTTTGTGGCCTGGAAAATGGTTTAATCAAGGTGAGGAATGCTGAACAATTTGGTTTATGGAACCCTGAAGTTTAAAGTTGATTACTCTTTTAAGACACCCACATTATTGTTTTGGCCATGGATTGTAGGGATGGATCCCTGTGTAGGAGCTAAAGCCGGTTCATGCCTTGAGGTTCTGATATTATTACACCTGCCTTAATCCGGAAAAGGAGAAAAAAGTTTTGAATTTTGATTTGATTCATGAATTCTGGTGTAAATTTACTGCTTCCTGTACCATATAGATCTTGATCATTGTACATAAAACTAAGTACCATTAGAATGTTGTGAAAATGTCTTTTTTCTAATTTTCTTATAATGTTTTTACCGTGTAAAATTCTGAATGTCTTTTGTGCAACTACATTTTGGTTTTGCCTGACTGCACTTGTTCATGATATGATAGCCTAAAAGTATAACCATTTATCTGAAAGCCTGAAATTATAGTATAAGGGCTTTGTTTTTTTATTTGACAAGCATTACTTCCTATATTAATATCACAACATTACATTGTCAGCTACTAAGAAAATAATAACATTTTGTGGGTCTTCCTCCACCGATAGTGTATTTCTAATTCTATGCCCAGTAAAGAGACTAAAACCTCGCAATACCACATTCATCACCACAAGGGCCTGAAAAGGAAAGAGTATATGTCCTTGATAATCTCTAATTAATCCTCAAATTTGACGTGGATCTGGATTCTCAAAAGAACTTCCGTTTAATATGAAAGAGCCAAAAGGAGGCGGTTCTCTTCTTCTTAACATTTTTCTTTTTGAGGAACCCAACTTTATGATATTTCCCAAATTCAAGAGAAGGTCCACTTTCGTTGTGGAATATGAGACTATTTGGAATCTGAGATGGGCATACCTAAATATTTAATAGGAAAATTTTCTACCTAAGGTGCATGTCTCTCCTTCCTTGGACAAGAAATGCCCTCCATCAACGTTTTATCCCAATTTATCTTTAATACTGAGATTGCCTCGAAAACCTTCTCAAACTGATATTCTGATTAGCATTTGCATAAATAAAAAAAAATAAAATAAAATATATATATATATATCATCAGCATATTGAAGATAAGTGACGCATGAACCTTCCCTTAATTAACTCTAAAACCATGGATTAATACTCTATCTTCCACCCTAGTCAGCATCTTACCGAAAGCCTTTGCCGTAAGGATATATAAGAAATGTGATAAAGAGTCCCCTTATTGTATCCCTCTACTTGCTTTGAATATCCCTTTCGGAATACCATCGATAAGTATCGAAAAATGCGCACTTGAGACGTAGCTTCTAATCCAATTTATCCATTTCGACCTAAAATGATATTTCTCATAATTTCTTGCAAAAACATTCTGTTCAACTCGATCATAAGTTTTTCAAGATCCAACTTACATCCCACTCTAGGGATATTACTCGCTTTCCTTGAATGTTTATAAACACAATAGAGTTAACTCGGACTTGGCCAAGTTACTCAGCCTCGGCAAGATGCATACAGATGCTTGGAGTTGTGCACATGGGCTAAGGGGACATGTACAATACTCGACCGTGCCCAAGTATTGTAGCGACTCACCTGAGTACTATATAAATCGTGTGAACTCGTCCAAGATCTACAGTACTTGGGCAAGTCAGTACCTTGCCCAAGTACTATATTGCATCCTTAAATCAAAGGGAGGCAGAAATCTGACTCCTGTGTTTCCCATTTTCTTGGGCGTAGGAGGCCCAAATCCCATTCGTTTATTCATATTTTCAGATTGTGCTAAGAAAAATCATTAGATCTACATATTTAGCTTAAAAACAAAAAGCCATTAAAAATCTAAATATTTGAAGCATTGGATTTGAGAAAAAACCATTTGGTTTATTGTATTTTGTGGGCATAGGATTTAGGAATTTTTGTCCGAATTTGAAAAACTTCAATTTCTTCAAATCCGATAATTGATTTGTGATGAAAGTCCAGCCCTTTGATGAAAACACCAATTATTTATATTTTCAATTTTTTTTTGTTTGTTTGTTTTTTGTGCGCCCCCTATGGGCATCACTCAGCCCGTTAGGCACCAAATACTGAGCCCATGAAGAGTTTTCGCACACTAGTTACAATGGTAACAAGCCTTTGATGGTAACTTACTTGGACGACGTGCTTGGGTCTTATACCATCTCAAAACTAGTTCGGCCCCAACCAATTTCGGTCCCAATTAATTCCCATTGGAATTGATTATCCGGATCGAAAATCATGGCACTGTGATTCATTTCGGAATCATGCTATAAAGCCCTTGAAACTACAACGAACAACTTTTGTGGATGGCATTACCGTGCATAGTGAAGGCATCCACCATCCATATAAGTGATGGACACTCCAGATGAACTAGGTACGATGATGGACATTTGTCACAAGATTGGAGCTTATCATAGCCGTTTATCTTTATAACAGGCGGCAATTTCTTCTACTGATTTTTATTTGGTATACTTTTCCTATATAATCCTGATTTTCTAAATCTTTCAGGTTTGAATTCACTTTGGGACTAGTGGAATCTAATAACCATTAAGCTTTCAAGGAAAATGAATCGAGCAAACTTAAATATTTCCCTAATGTTTGCATATGGCTAAGTTTTCTTTATCATATCTATTTATGGATGATCAATGTTCTATTTAATTTAATAGAAAATTTATCAAAATTCACGTATATTTTCAACTATTTAACATTTTACTCCTTTTCAACCATTCCTAAATCATATAATTCATCGATTAATTTTCCTTAAATTAATGATTTCGCTCTTTTGGAACATGCGGATCCATTTCAGCATTTTAAATTTAAAATAAATTTTAACGATCAAAATTTAACTGGAAAATTAAGTATTTGAACTTTGAAGAAACAAATCAATAGACAAAACGTACCCGGTGGAATTAGCCATTTTAAAGGTGTGGCGACATTTCAAATTAAGAAAATGGGATTAATTTTCATACAGAATGAGCGTTTCACAAGATCTCAATAAAAGTATTTATTTACCCAAAGAAAACAAGATTTAAATAATAGAATTCCAATCATACTAATAATTTAATAAAGAAACCCCAATCACGCAAACCAATTAGCTCAACTCTCTATCTTTCTATTGAATTCCCTATGATCTTATCCTCATAAACATCGACGAGATTATAACATTTTTACTCTTTTTCTCCCACATGCACGCAACATGAATTTTCTATGATCTTATCCTTATAAATTATTTTGATTCTCTCTCGCTCTCTCTCTCTCTCACCCTTACCGCACACAAGAATTCTTCTATCATCTTATCCTTCTAAATAAGGATGTCAATGGGCCGGGCCTGAGCTGAACCGGGTCAGCACTGGCCAAAGCCTGGAGGGTAGCAATGGGCCTGGACTTGACCCGGGACCCAAAAGGTAGGGTCTAGGTATGGGTCCAAAAATTGGACCCGCCAGGTCTGGCCTTGGTCCAAATCTTAGACCCAAACAGAGTTTGTGTTTGGGTCCGATAACATTTTTTGGTTCCTAATATATGAAATATAGTTAAATGCATAGATATTATTTAATATTTGAGTCGGGTCCAAATCTAGGTCTAGGTCCGGATTCCATATCATTTTTTGGGGCTGCCCCGACCTGAACCATGGTCACCCTTGTAGCCCCTACCCTACTGTTCTTATTCCGGGTCGGGCTTCACAGCCCACTGCCAACTCTACTTGTAAGAGACTGTTGCATAGAGATTGCAACCAAATTGGCCATGCGTGTGGTCAATATCATTCAGCAAGATCATACATGGATTGGCACTTAAAAAAAATAAAAAAATCTGGCATGCAATAAAAAAAAAAAATTATATGGGTTAGAGCCAAACGGGCAAATGATACGGAAAATATAATATTATATATATAGAGAGAGAGTTATCTCGTGAGGAGACGGACACTTAGGAGAGAGGGAGTTATCTCGATAACAACGCCACAAAGGAGGGTTAATGGCGGTTCTACGAATAACGAGTGACTACTAATTGAGTTTAGAGAGAGTTTTACAACTCTAAACTAAGACCACACAAAATTCCCAATTCCTCCGGTAAACCGTTTGCGTTAAAGAAAGCGTTACAGAGAGGGCCATTTTTTACCGGAAGGAAAAAGTTCGTATAAGGCTGCATCCTTATACTGTTGAGGAAAGGTGCATCTCAAAAATCTTGAAGTAGAGAGTGTTCCCACATAGGAGTCTCAAGGTTGAGATGAATGAACATGAAGAAAACAAAGAATTTCAAGTTCAAAAAATAGTACATATTGTAAAAAGTCATTTTGATTTTGTGTTTTCAATATTTTCAAGTATTTATTGATCTGCTCAATCTGTAATATTTTTAAATTTAAAATTTTATAACTGAAGATAAAAATAGATTTTGAAGCCATAATCAGATTTTATACACTGAAACAACATCTCTAAGTAAATTTTATACTGATGTACCAGACTTCTATAGTATAAGGAGGCAACCTTATACAAACCTCACCATTTATGAAAGGGTGAGGTTTTGCATAATGTGTCAACCTTATACTATTGAAGCAAGGTGCACCTCAAAACTATTCTAAAATGCAGTTTCAGTGTCCCAAAGCCTTGGGATGATATGAAAAAATATTTTTACTTCCAATTTCGAAATTTGTAGTCTAAAAAATGGTGATAATGAAGCAGATATACAAACAATTGGAAAATGTTGAAAATTGACCATCTAGATAATGTGTTAGAAGATGAACTATTTTTAAGACTAAAAATCCTTTTTTTTTTTGTATACATGAATCTCAAGGTTGAGATTATTAATTTGAGGGTTTCTTAATGTAGGGTTTTACCGACACGGTCTCTATGCGGCCAGCCCACGTATTGTAGAAATGGAAGCTTGGCAAAAAATATATTTTCAAATTTTTAGAGACTTATTTTAAGATAACTAAATTTGAAAGAGAGAGTATGAATATACACAAGAGAAAGATATCTCAATATTATTTCCATATCTCCACATAATTTCTATATTTTAATTAGAGAGGGAGGGAGAGAGAATATGAGTCCACACAAGAGAGAGATCTCAACATTATGAGAGAATTTGAGAAGGAGAAAGAGAACATGCCCAAAAGATGGAGAAAGATTGAGAGATTTTTATGAAAGCTTTTGAAAAGTAGAGAAAGAGATAATCTCTTAAACAAGATTTTAAGAAACCAATGTTTTAGTAGGATTTATTTCATAAAAATGATAAGTAGTTAAAAATTTCTTATTATTTAAAGGATGATTTATGATGAATCAAACTTTTTATTAATAGATTTTTTTATCAATGAATATTAAGTTAATCTACTACAAGTAATTGCATATGTGGAACACACATAATTCAACTAGTAATATTTAACATGGAGATCATGAATATGAAAAAAATAATAATTAAAAACGAGAAATAATAATTATGTTAAGAAAACATTTGGACCAGTAATTATACTCGTTTTTTAGATGCACCACCTATTTGCATCCATCTTTAAGATGGATGCTTTATACCTCTAGACCACATATTGTAGAAATACGGTCCAGCCCGCATGAAACAATTTTCTTTTTTAGATGCACCTTACATAGTATAAATGTTTTCTCTTTTGGGAAGAAAGAAATTTCTATAAGGTGTCAACCTTATCCTATACAAATAAGGTGGACTTAAAAAACTGCTAAAACCCATTAGAGAAGGTTGTTCTTATGCCAGAAGACCCTCAAATGGGGAATATTGACATAGAGATTCATAGACATATTTCTAACCCTAAAAATGGTTCACTTTCTAACATATTATTTGGACTGTCTATTCTTAAAATTTCAAAATATTTATAGACTTGTTTGATTATTAACATTTATGGAACTTTACCAACACAATAATAGATTTGCATAGCAAGCGGTTAGCCGCACCAAAAGTGCATTTTTGACATGGTTTTGAGGTACTTCATACTTTAATAGTACAAAGTTGATGACATCTTATATAATGCTCACCCTTATTTTGCAAAACTTCCATGGAAATGTAAGTCGCTTGAGTGAGTACCGAAATTTTAGAGAAAGTCCAGTTAATAAAGTTAAGCCCTAAAATTTAGAGAGATAAACCCCTCAAATTCAGGAACCGTTTTCGGATAGAAGAAGCCAAGGGCAGTTCAGTTATTTCGAGAAAATTCGGGGCCCACATCACGTGGTCCCATCACGTGATGCCTGTCCCCTTCTTATTCGCCCATCCAAATCGCAAAACAGCTCTCTGTCACGTCAACCTTATCCAATAACGTGTAATCTCGACACGTGGCATAAATCCCTGTCTCCATTCAGTGGACTTGCTCGACCTTTAAACCCTAATTCTCCATAAATATCACTGCTCACTCTCTCGCGGCCTAGCTTTTGGCGAAAAGAGGTCGATAAAAGTTTGGAATTGTTGTGATTATAATCGATCATTTTTTTTAGAGAAGAGATAAGATTGAACTATGGCGTTCTTGGATAAGCTTTGGGATGACACTTTAGCCGGACCTCAGCCGGAAAATGGGCTTAGCAAGCTCAGGAAACCTGTTTCCCGGCCATCTCCGGCCAAAGGTGAGCCGGAAAATACAGTTTGATCTCTATTTCGTTATTGTTTTTCTTAAAACCCACTCTATTTCTTTCTCTCGGTGCATTTCTGCGTATTAGTGTTTTTTCCTGGGTTTTTTTTTTTGTATTTATCACTCTTTTCCACTGATTTTCCCCATTTCTCTCTGTGTGCGCTTTTTTTAAGGTAATTGATTTAATTCTATTTTTCATTTTGTGTTTAACGATTTTCAGTTGATGAGTTCTCTAATGAAGCCAATAGAGTGACGCGAAGCATAATGATCGTGAAACCGCCTTCGGATAAAAATAACGCTTCAGAAAACGGAACTCCGCCGTCTTCTCCGGCCGGAATGACGCCTCCGGTTTCTCCTTTCGCCGGTAATGTCAAACTTTTCGGTTGATTTTGTTCATTCGCTTTTGAGAAATGGCCGAAATTTCGGGTATGTTGCAGGGGCAGGGAGGTTTCGGAGGAGATTTTCGTTGGAGGAGTACGAGAGAAGCCGCATCGTTGGAGGGAAAAGCCCTCGGGGTAGATTTTCGTCGGATGAGTACGAGAGAGGCGGCTTCGTTCCGGGGGGGGAAAAGCCCTCCCTTTCGTGACTGGTGAGTTATAAGTCCCGAAAGTTTGGGCCGATATTTCGGGGCTTATCGTAATCACTGATCACTTTGATAAATTTCGGCTTGTTTTTATGGATAATAAACCGGAAGGAACACCGAAGAAAAAAATGTTTTTTCTGAAAAGATGGTATCCACCGAAGACTCTAGAACAATGTAGCAGGGCACTCACTCCTAGGAATCTGATTCACAGGGGTATCTTTGTCTTAAATTTTTATACAAAGAAATGAAAATAAAAAAGAAAATTATTTTACGTGGGCTGGACAAAAAAATTTCAATCATCCATTCCAAGTGGGTGTTCCATCCCAAAACAATAGAAACTAATGGTACAAATGTCAATTATTATTTTTAATTTAAAAATTTATTTTATTTTATTCTTAAAAATTAAATCAAAAAATCCATCTTAAAAATATTTTTATTTATTGGCCCCGTATTTTGGGCTTGACCGCATACCAAATGAAAATATAAATATCTGACTTTTACATAATGAATAATTTATGTAGAGACAATATAATTTTAGGTAAAATATGAAATGCTTTATTTATATGCGGATATTACAAAAGGTCGGTCAATTCAAATTTTTTGATTTTTTTTCAAAACTGCGCTTCGTTCGACCTAAATTTTGTTCTTAGTTTTTTCTGCAGTTCCTTGAAGCTTGGGGCACTGCCCCGAAACTTAAAAAAACAAAAAACTAAAATAAAAAATCAAACTCAGGTTGACCATGGGGTATTTGAAAAAATTAAAGAGAAACCGGTTGAGTGGCTTTTTTGTAATTTTCACATATAAATGGAGTATTTTGTATTTTACCTTAAATTTTAGGGTACGTACGTAAATCAATACCTTATTAATATTGGAAAAATCTTAGGATAAGAGAGAAAAGTCAGTAAAGGAGCGTACCTAATTGAAAAATTTTCGGATTGATCATGTCCCTAAAGAAGAAAAAATTACTTCCTAAAAATAACGCATCTTATAACTAGTTTTGTGACGGTTTATTTTCAAGATTTTTTTTGGTGTTTATAGATCCGTTTGATATGTTAGGATATGGATATTTCGGGTTCATATTGATATATATAAATATGGATGTATATGTACATATCTCTTGATAAGATTAGGTATCAAAAAGATAGAGATTTACTTAGTCATCAAGTTATTATATTGTATTTATTTCCATATTTATCTTCGTGATTATCTTTTATATATAAAAGTAAGATTCATCCAAATAGAGTAATGGAGCCAGTTAGTCTTTGGATCTGGGTATATATAAAGGTACTCAGTGATGTGAACATTCATTCAAAAATAGTAGATATAGAGCCGGTTGGATTGGGTTGGGTTTTGGATATGTAGACGTAAAGCTTCGGTCTAAACCACATAAATACATCCAATAAATACATCCAACAAATTCTACCATGACATGTACTTTTTTTATAATTTTAAATTTCAGTATTGGAGCTTGAAAATGGATTCCCAAGCTATTTAAAATGAAAACTACAGTCTTCGGGCAAAATTTATGGGTAGGATTAGTTCACATGGTATAAAGTGGTATTTTATACAAACGCCACCCATTGTTATCATATGTTTTTATGTCATTTGGATAAATTATAGAAACGACAGTGAAATAGGCTCTTGTAGAAATCAGTGTTAGACATTGGGACCCGGCCGGGTACCCGGAACTCGGCCATGGGCCATCTTGTTGGTCAAGTTGTCAAAGTTTGAAAAAAGTTCACAAAACATTATTAAAAAATCTTTAAAAAAAAAAATTTATTTTCATTCTGTTTTTATATGTTTTTAATCATTTTCGCAACTATTGGAATATTTTTGGCTACAAATACTTATTTCTATATTTTTGCATCTTTCTTATATTATTTCAAAGATTCTCATGGTCACAAATTGATTTTTTAAAATCTATGTCACTACTATTTTTTTTTACCCTTTTTTTTTTTTTAACCTTTTTCTGGATGTTTTGTTTATTTTTACTTCAAATATATTTGTCTTTTTCATATTATTAACAATTTTTTTTTTGCCAAACCGGTACTTTGACCCAGCCCATGGCTAGGTTTCATTCCCGGGTCGTGTTTTCCTACAGTGATAGAGAGAGAGAGAGGGGTTGCTTGTCTTTACTGGCGGTATGCATATGCCGGTGTGATGTACATGTATCCGTTCCTCATGTTCACATGAGCTGCTATGCGCCTGCTGGCAACCATAACATGATCATAAATATGTAGGCACATATGTATGGGCCTTCATTATATCCATGTGCATACAACCATACGTAGGAGATTTTATCCACGAGTTCTCCAGCATGCATGCACTTAATATACGTACTTGTGGGCCATTTTTGTCAATTTTGTTTTTGTTTTTAGTAGGTTTTTGCCCTCATAAAGAAGGTTTATATAAGGTGTTAACTTTTTACTGTAGAAATAAGGCATGCCTCAAAAATCCATCGAGAAAAGATGTCATGATTCTGAAAGCCCTACCAATGTACATTTCAACCTCAACTCAAGCATTATGATATAAAAAAAAAAAAAATTGAAGTCCTAAAAAATGGTCCATCTTATAACATGTTATCTAGACGGTCTATTTTCATGACGTTTCAAGTGTTTGTAGATCTGTTCAATTATACAATTTTTTGAGCTTTAAATTTTATAAATAGATATGTAGATTTCAGCTCATAGAAATTATATTTTTCGATGAGGCTTTCAATGGAAATCTCACCCTTTTCAAATAGATGAAAAAGTCTCTTCTTAATGGAGCTTATTATTATCATATGAATCTTATCCTAACTATTTGTGGTCTGATAGAACTATTTTGAGATAATTGTTTCTCTTTGTTGATTTCTCTCACATGACTCAACTCATTTATGGTGCAGAGATCATATGGTTTCTAATCGAACACCAAGGAGAAGCAAGAAGAGATGGAGAGAGAGAGAGAAACGAGCATCAAGTAGAAATTAGAAATGTGGAGGAGGAAAGAGAGGCAAGTGGTGAATAGATCATTGTACAGTCTTTCTGTTTGGTTGTGCATTTGGTGTTGTTCATGTAATATATAGAAGTGTGCGTTTGTTTCGTTTGTGTCGGATGCATTAGAGTTTGCTTTACTGCATGTTAGAATGAGTTGAGGATGTAAAAATAACAAGATAACTTCTGTTCAACCATGTCTCTAATGGCTGTCTACTTGCGAAATTGGAAATTGGATCACCGCTTCAGGTGTTTGATGACTCTGTCTTTCTCTGATGTTTTGGTGAAATTCTCGGAGAGAGAGCGCGGTGTCAATTGAAAAGAAAGATGAAAACATATCGTTGAAAAAGAAGATTATGAGCCCCAAGAGTGATGGACTCAGACCTTCTGGGTATTGTCCCACATGGATTCGGGTATGGGTCTAACATTTGGACCGGGTCAGGTCCGGGTCTAAAATTTAGACTCGAAAACTATTCGGGGTTGGCGCTGGGTCCTGTTGGATCTGACGTATACTCGTACCCGTAAATTAAGGATAAAATACAAAAATTTCTATTCGTTTGGTTCTATTAAGGATCATATACAATAAAAATTTGTAGTTATCTTTAGCTTTTAAATGATAAATCAAACGGTTTGAAATCTAATGGCGTGTGATTGTGGTATTGTTGTCAATAATATGGGTATATGATAGTAAAAAATGACAAATAAAAATAAAAATAAAAATAAAAAGCTCATAGTTAGAGGGGCAATGAATCTGACTAAAACCTAAGACCTGACTAGTACAGGTATGGGTGCAATTTTTGGACGCGACGAGTCGAATCCAGATCAAATTTCAAAATTTAGATCCAAATAGTATTCGGGTGTATGTCCAATCCAACCGGACCCCACCGGTTGCCACCTCTACTTAAAGTGTCCTACCATTGCTACTATTTCAATATCTGATCGGGACCGTCGATCGTTTCGATAGACCTAAATGAATCGGATTTTAGGAACTTCAATCCATTTGGATTAGGCGGAATTGGACTTGTAAATGAGTACAAGTTATCTTAAAATCATACCCATGAAGCGCATACAAGGTCACATTATAAAGACTAAACCCGACATAGCCACCCCACTCTCTGCTAACTCATCCGCCAGGTCATTTTTAGAAAGAAATGTTGAACTATTTTTACCTCCCGATAGACTGTCTATAGGAAAGAAATGTTGAACTTGGGTTATCAAAAGAACTCTCATCGAATTTTAATTTATAACAGTCATTCTTTGTCGAGATGAGTTCTTATGGTAAAGCTCTCAATAAATTGAAAAAAATATATATTTAAAAAATTAAAAAAATTTAAAACAAAATAAAAAAAATACGACTTTAAGGAGTCTAAATAAGCTTAAAAAGTAATTGAAAAAACTGGATTTAGAAAAAAACTACTTTATAATTGGAGATAT